GACATAGTTTCTGTAAGAGTCTATATAGAGAAAAAATTCCTAATAGATGTCTTGTTTCATTTCTGGTGATTGTGATACTGAAGAGATGCAAATTTAAATGTTTTAAATTACCTAAAAAGTAGTCCAGGAAAAAGACAGAAACTTTCAATCAAGAAGATTTTAGAGATGTGGCCTTGCAATCTTTGGGTTTCCTAAGGTAATATGCTTGTAAGATAATTCATATTACATTTAAGAAAGACAACACAAAGATCTTTTGTTTTGCTTTGACCAAGAAAACGTAAGCAACGTTTTTGTTTTGGCTAAATATCTTCATAACTTTGACATTGCAAAATATTGTAGAGTTTTCACCTTCACTCATTTCAAATGCTCTGTCTTCAACCTTACTGGAAGGGAGATACTGGTATGAAAATATCATCTGCCAATATTACCAAGTTACTAATGACTATTGAATTATATACTTTAGGATGAAGGATGGGTGAAAATACTGCCACCCCAAAACTGGTATTTGTCCTTTCTATCTTTCTTTTCAGAGATAAATGCAGAAAATGGTGCAAATCTTCTCAACAGTTGTAAGTATTAGAACAGATTTGTGTTTGAAAACAGATTTGTTAAAAACGGCTTTGTTTAGCCTAACTTTCCTCTGGCTACTATTCTCCAAATGTTTTGGACTATAACTCTATAACTATAACAGGGGATACTGAACACATGTACTGTATAAGATTGACTGTCATGTTAAGGAAGGCTGCCTTAAGCACCATAGTTCTCAGACTCTTTTGTAATTTCCTAGTGTATCCAATCTTCATGAACCACTTAATTTTTACAGCCTGATTATCACATGGGAAGCCATTGTAAGTTTCCTCAGTAAAGGTTTTTGCTCCCTTACATTCATGCTGTGCTACTGAAGGCATGGGGAAGGGGAAAGAGTTTTTGAGGGCCTTGCATTGCCAATGTATTTTATCAGTACAGTATATTTTGGACACAACCCTGTTCTTTGAAATGGCACATTTTAAAATGTGTTGGGGGTCCTAGCTAGATGCACTTCCAGTAGGTTTTAATGTAAATAGTTATAGATCAGCAAAACTGATCATACTTCAAATTTTAAAATGTTTAGAATTTAAACATCAGTTGTCAGATTTGCATTTTTATAGTGATGAGGAAAATAATAAAGGAAAATATGAAGACAAAGGAGATACTGGAACCTTTTTGTTTCCTGTAGCAATGAGTGATGAAAATCAAATTTAAATTCACTTATTTGTAATATTATAACTCGGGTCACCCATGGAACTTTTCTTAAGGATGGGAGATTTCTATAAAATTGGACTGTTATGTAGCATTTTTCCCTAAGAAAGAATGAATCATATTTTTCAGCTAACCTGAGCAACCTGGAAAACATACCCAGCTCTCTTCCTAACCCCAGAAATGCAGTCCTGTATTTATTTGGTGGAGAGCAAGGGTGCTTCCAGAAAGACAGACCCTAGCATATTAATCAAAAGGGATTATGCAATTCTTTTCTTGTTCTGTGGAGAATGGATCTTTTAGGACAAGAAAAAAAGCAGTGGCAAGACAGCACATGAATGGCAGACAATTATATTTTGATATTCCCTTACCCATTCCCTTAAAATTCAGTGAATAAGTAATGTATTGCTGTTTAATACATTCTACCATGTTCAGGGAGAAAACATGAACAAAATTAGGCCATTCTCCTTATTTCCAGGGAAGAGTGCTTTTGTTTCTTTTTATTGTTTTTCAATCTTTTTTGTTTCTAAAAAGCTGCGATAATTATACTTCTAGCAAAAAACCAAAATCCCCTTTCATAGAGTGTTCCGATTGTAAAGCAAAATCTGTTCTCTGGAAATAAATGAGTGAGATGCTGTTTTGGGATTGGGAGCAGGTTGTGGGACACGACTGGACAGATCCGTGGAGAGAATCTATGGAGGAACCATTGCAGGGGAAGGAGAATGGCCCTGGCAAGTTAGTCTCCAGCTGAATGGCATTCACCGTTGTGGAGCAACGCTGATCAGCAGCTCTTGGATTGTGACTGCTGCTCATTGTTTTAGAGGGTGAGTAGATCTTTCCCCAGTATCTATCTCTAAGGCTACATCTGTACCAACACACTTAAATGAGAACATTTTCCCAGTTCATTTATGAACAGATGTCTCCGCTCACCACAAATACATTCAAAACATATGAAATTGGGAGGGAGAGGGGTGTTTAAACTTTGTCTCTGCTCACAGCTGCTGTTATTCCTAGGCATTCCAGTTTCTAAACTGGTCTTATTTCTAGTCTTGAAGTTTGACTGTGGTGAAAGAGTTGCAGGAAAAACTGGAAAACGATATCAGGTAGCAAGAACAGTTGTGAAGTTCTGTCCTAAAAGGGCTACAAAATGCTATACAAAAATGCAAATAGAATTCTTATGGTATAATCTGTACTCTCAAATGTTTTCCAGTGTCAAGGATGTCAGAAGATGGACAAGTAGTTTTGGGGCTCGTATAAGACCTCCAACAATGAGAAGGAATCTTCGCCAGATCATCATTCATGAGCATTATGCTAATAATGTCATGAACCATGAATTTGATATTGCTGTTGTGCAGATTTCACCCCCAGTGGAATTTACAACTGCTGTACATCGTGTTTGTCTTCCAGAGGCTTCATATATTTTTCCAGAAAATATCACTTGTGTTGTTACAGGATATGGTGCTCTGAGAGATGACGGTTAGTAGCTCTCTGTTCAGGGGCAAGTTGGCTTGTGTGGATAATCATTCTGATTTGTTAACTGTAGCAGGGTCGGTTCCAGGTTATAGATAGTACTGGATTACACCATCTCCTCCATTCCCAACCACGTAGGAAGCTTGCCATCATAGTCATCAAGCACCACAGAGAGAAGAGGGGCTCTGCTCCTTTGTAAGCCCAGGACTAACTGCTCAGTTGTTGGGTTTAATGTTTCTTTCCAAGTGTCTGGACCTGATGGAGCTGCCTGACTGTGTTAGTCCCTATTAGTGGCACGTGCAATAGTGTAAACCTTGTTTGACAACCTGTAATAAAGTCTTTTTACTCATACCTTGTCAACCAGATAGGCTGTTTGCCTTCTTTTATGTAGAACATATGCATTCACATGCATATTTTATTGTAAACCACCCAGAGTCACTTCCTCGTGAGATGGGTGGTGTCTCAATCTGAAGTGTAAATAAAATAAAAAATATTCATCTGTAAGAAAACAAAACATAAAATATTAAAGTTGCAAACATGCTAGAGGGGGGTTGGGATTAATGGGACAGGTATATTGAAAATATCACAGATTAAGAAATAGCCACCACAATTATTATATCTTCTTTCAGACTAGCTCATTCCAAAAGTCTTCCTTATCCAGAGGTCACTGGAGATAAGAATGTTCCTTATCACTCATGTTCAATTGGATTAGAAACTTCTGTGAAGTCAGCAAAGAATTCAGTTTATGTGAATTTGAGCTCCCATTTACTAGCCTCAGAGCAGGACATTGGCAAGGCTGTATCTCACCCCCCAGCTTCAAAGGAGAGCTGAGCAACCAAGGGAAAGCTCGTAGCTACTAAGAAGTGGAGCTTTCAGTCTAAGCAAAAACTTAGGTGCTTGCAAGGGTTCCTATTCAGATTTTTTTTTTTTTGCAAACTACCTGACAACTCCATACAAATATATATATATCACAAACCATATATATTAAAGCACTTACTTTGTTTCCTTTTCCTAAGTGGTATGAGGGAGTTTTGTTATTCCTTGGACAGAGTATGAGAGTGTGACACTAATTGCATGATGTGCCTTACCCTTTCCTATTAGTCAGCTGGAGGATAGGAGCATGGACTGCTCATGCAGTTTTCTGTGTTTCAATATTGTAGAAGGCAAGATTATCACAGGATGGTTCCTTTTAAAGGAATGGAGGGATGGAAATTCTGGTGCTATGGAAGAGCTCACAGAGTAAGGATATGTGATGTTTTGTGGGTGTGTTATCCTATAGCCTTTTTATAAATTTTCACGGGTAAAAACTCCCTTATTATTTGACAATCAGGTCCCAGTGTTGGTGAACTTCGTCAAACAGAAGTGAAAATTATAGGCAATGAAATTTGCAACAGAAGGGAAGTGTACAATGGAGCCATTTCACCTGGAATGCTCTGTGCTGGTTACCTGGAAGGAGGGAGCGATGCTTGTCAGGTAGGTGCAATAATAACTTAAAAGTCAGCAAAAGGGCTCCTGCACATATTATGGTTTGGTAGCATTTGAGCTGGAGAAAAAGCCACCACCTTTTTCTACAACTAGGTCTAGATCAAACCCATTTGATCTGCAGTTCCAAGGTTCTGGTGGTATGTCTGGGGAGAAGAATGGCTGTGGCTAAGGATGGGAAATATGTGACTTTTAAAAATTATTATTTTTTGTTTATTCTATTCCATTTTCACATCAGTTTGCATTTTTGAAGCCCTTAAAGTCTGCAAGCAAGTCTAGTCATGAAGGCTTAGGAACTGGGAGGGAGAATGTGATCTTCAGAAGACCCCCTCATTTCTCCTCTAAGAAGATTATGTTAAGGGAAAACAGTTTTAGATGGTATCATGTTTGATAAAACAGCCCTGTCTATCATACTGACATTATAGGCTACAGATTTTCCCCTGGCCTTTCTAAAATGATTTTCTTTCTCTTATAGGGTGATTCTGGTGGACCATTGGTTACACCTGATTCAAGAGGAATATGGTACCTTGTTGGCATAGTAAGCTGGGGAGATGAATGTGCTAAGCCAAATAAGCCTGGAGTCTATACACGAGTTACTTACTATCGAGACTGGATTGCTTTCCATACAGGAGTCTGAAATAAAGAGAAGGAGTAACTTCATAGTTAATGTATAAGATCCAAGATCTGTGGACTACTTATAAATATTTTTCTTATAAACAGTCTCACTACTTTGGTAAATTCTGGTTTCTGAGTAGGAATTGGTTTTTCTGCTGGAGGCATCAACACTTTTTCTTTCCATATTATTCCACGTCCAACAGTCTCATTTATATTATCAATACTGTTCATGTCTTATACAAGAAGATGGATAGACTGAAGCATTCATCTGCAATCAGCAAAATACTTTTATTGTAGTTTTTATGATTCCCATCCTTAAAATGATTGCACTGTTGGAGCCTGCTTGATTGCATCAAATGTTCCACTCTCCCAATTGTTTTGATAATTTGGTCAATCTTTTTTTTTTTTTGGTTGTTTGTTTTTAGTGCATGGTATTATTCAAGGAGAATTGCTGCATAATCCCTTCCAGGCGCTGGGAGTACTCAAATATACAACTCTTTTACAACTATCTTGCAAGAATGGAGAGGATTCTTGGACAAAGGATATTCCATGGTCCTCCTTAATTCATGAACTCTGGAAAGGGTCATGCCATGCGGACTGAGAAAGTATTGAAGTGATGATCAGTTTGTACCAGTCTAGCTATCATATTTACCCATGTTCACAAAAAGTTCTTGGAGGGACCTGTGAAGATCAAAGCCACAAAGTGCAATTACTGATCTTAGAATAATTATATGCTTCATTTTGAAAATGCTGGCAATCTTTCAGTGGCCTTCTCAAAATCTGGTACCATCCAGATGCTTTGGACTGCAACTTCCAACATTGCTAGACCATTCTGAGAAGGCAGAACTAGAAGCATCTAGTATTCAGTCAATTAAAACCAAAGTCCATTTACTTGGAGAGGGAAGGGGAAATTTAGTGAGGAAAATGTTAGTGAGTTATCGTACTGAGTTAATTTTTATTATAAATAAAAATTCCAGTTTTTTATTTATAATTCACTTCAGTTAGAAGACATGCTAAATATAATTGTTTTCCATGTTTATAACAGATTCCTCTAATGCTGTCCTTTTTCTATGAATTTCGTTTTGTTCAGAATACATCTCTAGGTTATTTAAATAGGTAGAAACATTTTTTAAAATAATTTTCCTTCCATTCTCTATTCTTATATGGCACACATTTAAAGAAAAGTGTCAGAGAAAAGAGGACCAATGTAGCAAACATTACGTGTTTTCTTCCAATTACACCATGCATAAGGTTCTACTTTGAGGCAATAATCTAAGGATGCTTAGGGGTGAATACAATGCGAGTTACTTCTGAGTAATAATGCCTAAAGTGCATTAAAAACTCTTGAACTCAATGGGATTACCATTGTTAAGACCAGTTTCATAGTAAAGAGTTCAACTGGCTCTTGCTTTCGTGAATGTTCATCCTACAGTGACCAAAATATTAATTTGCATTGCAATCCATCCATTAATGCAATCGATCCATTAATGATCCCAGGTCCCATAAATAAACACTATATGACCAGTGAAAACTTTATCATCCTGGTTTCAAGGTATGTGAAATAAATCATTTATATCTCCTGTCTTTGGACTTGCTGGCCAAATCTGACATTTCAAGTTGTATAAGAGTCTAGATGCAAGAGTGTTTTATCTGCGTCACATGATGTAAGAGAGAGAAAGTTAAATAATCAAATAATCATCTATTAGGTATGACATTTTAGCAGTACAAAGAGGAGATGTTGTCAATGGTTCCAAAGTAGAACTGTTAAACAGATACTAAGGTGTACTTTTGCTGAAATGAAGGAAAAATACAGGTCAAAGACATATATGAGAGAAAAGCAGTGTTGGGTGCTCTGTATCTTTGTGTATGTGGTTACAGGTTTACAACTATGAAAGCTCAGGTTTGTCTTCCTACTTTCTGCTCCTTGCAAACATAAAGGAAGGACTGGGACCTGTTTCTACACTGCCTCCCCTCCCCCCCCCCTTTAATGCTGTAGAAATAAAACAAAGGCATTTTAAATCTCTCTCTGGATGACTTACTTTGTCCAACAATATACTCCTTTGGTGCCTAGCTATAATGAAGGAAAAATAGCTTAGTTTTGAATGAGTTTTGTTTTAGTAAGTAACTGCAGCAAGATGGTGCTGTTATGATTGCTCAGGTGTACAGTATATCAGCATCCTTCTAAATCATTGTTTTAGTGGGGTGGGAAGAAAGGAATGATTGAAAAGCACACATACTTTTACTCACACAAGCATACACAGAGCACATTGAAGACATTCCTAGGTTAAATCGCTAAAAATGGGATAGCCTGCCTGTCCCCACCCTCCTGAACTGCATCTATACTAGATTTTCATAGCTTTCACATGAATAGCTGCTTCAGTTTAGTAATCTCCTGGTGGTAACCGTGAAACTGAGAAGTAAAAGTCAATGGAAGATATTTAAAAGGACTGTGGAAAGCATTTGGAAGAAGCACTCTGCAGTAAAGTCAGGGCAAGCAAAGCACCCCTTCTTGAAGCATTAAAACAACCACACCCTTGAAAGGTTTGTGTGGGTGCTTCAGTCATTTGCATTTGTGTGTATACACAGACACCATTTATACTGGGATCATCAGTGAAGGGGCTGTACGTGTGTACACATGAAATGAATAGGGTTCCCAGAATTTCAGCCCAGGAACTCTCTTCCATTTAGAACCTATTTCTCCCCTGGATAGTAGGACAGAGACTTTCTTATGCCTTTCTAATGGGTTTCCTGTGAATTGGCAAGGAGACGGTGCTTTTTGGCAATAATGGAGGAGCCTGCAGGTGGCTGTTTACAGAAGCATCTCCTGAATCCTTATCAGTCTATGAAGTTATTGTTATAAGTACTTTCTCAGCCTGTTCCATACCTGAAATATATCACCTAGATTCACGGTTACAATGCCCTGCTCACATTCCTCTAGAGCTTCAAATACTTTCATCCCTTATTAGTCTGAATCTAATGTAGTTCACATAACAAGTTTATTCCCTGAATGGTGATGAACAACAGCATAGTGGATGTATAAGTACTGACAGCCACACATATTTACACACTTCTAGTTTCTACCAGAACAAGCCACAAAGCCCTTTGTTCACAGTCAAACCCTGTGATACAATTGCATATATTCAGACTGTTCAAACAACTATACCAACCTACTGAAGTGAAAACAAACAAAATATTGAACAGGGACAGTCCAGTACCCAAAAATAATATCCTACAGGGCAAATTTAGAAAAGAACAGCAACAACAGTAAATCTTTATAGTTCTGAGCTAAAACCATTCAGGATAATAATACCTCCCTCCTACCGATATTAAGCAGCTTAAAAGAGTTACTTTCTAGCATAAAGGGACATGTATCTAGTGACACGGAAACGGGGAAGAAGCCTTATATGGACTTTTTTATTCTTATGTTTACCCTGGCAACATCATCATAGGAGCTAGCAGAGATTTCTGCCTTTTCCCATTTTCCTGTGAAATATTTGTTATCGTTTGTGAGCAGTGCATTTTTGCATTTGAAGCACAATTACCAAAACAGATTTCAGAACACCACAGCTGACCTTCATCTAGGGATTGAAAATCTGTCCCTTGTGAATATGTTCAAGGCCATTTTTTAAAAAAAATCACACACTGACTTATTTCTCATATCAAGCTAATCCATAGTTTATAGTTCAACTATAGTTGTAAAGTAAGCCAAAATTAGGTAAGTTAGGAACAGATACTAAGCCGATAATAAACAGTCCATATTACAGTTTAGCACAATATGATTACAGTCACTGTATATTAATCAATTTATCAAAAATAAATTATCTATGTTATCAACCAACAATTATTTTATTAATTGTTTGCCACTGTAAATAAGGGAAGTATCACTTCTACATTTCATTTGCCTCTGATTTTAGTGTTTACAACCTCTCTCCCTCTCTCCCCTCCCCTTAGAGTGTGTTGGTATATTTGTATGCTCTATCTCAGGTTAATCCTTCATTCATCTGCTAGACCAGTTTGTACATCATAAAGTTTTATATCATAATAAATTTGTCAGTCTTTCAGATACCTTTAGATTCTTTGTTAGTGTAGCTGCCTATAATTAAGCTCTCATAGGAAAATGCTCATCATGCGATCATAAATATTTCATGAGTTGTCAGGCACAGAATACTTTATATATTTCAATTATTCTAAAAGACAAAACAAGAGTTTTCAAGAAATGAGATGTTTAAGAACTGATTTCTTTGAAATTAATGTAGCTACTCTTACTGAATTTTGTAGGTTCTCAGATCTTTCAATCTGCACTTAGTACAAGAAGAAAAGGATCTCTATCTCCCTTCCCTGCCCCACCCCAGTGGGCTTGATGTTCAATTTCATGTTTTCATCAATAAACTATAAATAATTTCAATTTGGGATGCCCCTAGAATCAAAATCACACACGTTTTCTTTTCCTTACAAGAAAAATAGGAAACAGTAAAAAGGAACTAATAGAAAGAAAAACCCATGTGTCTGAACAAACACACTTCCTCAAACAGAAAACATAACCAACAGGACTCCACAAACACTACACTCCCAGGCCTGGGAGAATTGCCAAATTTTAAAGACTTTTGGAATATCATCAGAATGGGAGTTACATGTAGTGCCAGCTAGGTCACATTGACTGATGGCGCCACCTCCCGCCAATGCAAAGATTTGCATTTTTAGAATGATTTGGAAGGAAGTACTGGCGCCCCCTAAGATTTGGCCACCTAGGCCAGTGCCTACTCAGCTTTAGCCTATAGCCATGCCCATATTGAAGCATGCCCAACATGGCCTATACCACAGCATTCTGGACCAGCTGTGGCTTCTAAGTGGTCTTCAAGGACAGCCCCACATAGAGAGCATTACAATAATCCAACTGTGAGGTGATTAGGACATGAGTGACTATCTGGAGATCTTCCTGATCTAGGAATGGGTGCAACCAGTGCACCAGATATAACTGAACAAAGGTCATCTTGGCTACAGCTATCACCTGCTCTTTGAGCAGAAGCTGTGAATCCATACTGATCCCCAGATTGCACACCA